CAGAAAAGTATAAACATGAGGTATAAAAAGTAAAGCCATATTAATATGCTGAGTTGCAAAAGCTCAAGTAACATCTTCTGACATTGCCAGTTTTGCAGATAACCCACTGCTATTGTGCACTACTGGACTATATTGAATTATTTTGCTGAATTCAGGCACCTACAATATTTGAATGGCAATGGAACACCCATCTCTGACAAAACTAAAGAAAAACAGGGGATATAATTGAAGGATCATTTTGTAGAAAAAAATATATCTGTATATACAAAATATGATAGATATACAGCTACTTTCTCTTAGTTGAAAGAAATGAAACATTTGTACTAATAGTGTATAGACAAGATACCATGTCTACGTCTTGTACTATGAATAACTACTATGAAGACAATAATATGCAATGTATTCATCATTGTACCTGTCCTACTAACCTGTTTTGAAACTGTCTCATTGTTATTTCTTTTTTTTTTAGGTAACTAAGTTTATTAGAAATTCAACATAATACAATTTCTAATTTTAAAACAATATTTTAAACATTTTCTCAGTCAGCCAGAGCTTCTATTTGAAAGCTGACTTTTAAGCTGCAATCTGATAACTGATGGGCTGACCACATGAATACTACTTCACACTAGTCACATGAGACAGTATCTAGATCCCTGAGCACTGATTTAGACTTTCTAGGACTGGTCTCCTCCTTGGTATTTGGGGACAAGGCACAGGGTTTCCTAAGCATGTTTCTTTTCTTCTCTTGCACATAACTGGCTAACAAGCTGACTGCTTTCTCTCTCTTCATGGGGAACACCTAAGTAGTATCATCCCAGGCCCACATCCTACTTAAGCCCTTCTTTTGTAGAAACAGAAGTAAGTGGGAAGGAAAAGCAAAGCACCACTATATAGCCAGCTAAAAGATTAACTTGTTTTTTTTTTAAATATTACTAGTACTACGCTAGTTTATATCTAGTTCTTGGAGAGAAAGTTACTAACATCGCTTTTATGTGTTTTTAACTTTCACTGCCTTCTGTCAAATTCTTCAAACCATTATAAAGCAAGTTTAGAAATTTCCACATAACTTCATTTGTGGATCCACACCTAGCAAGTTAACAACAGCAAACAGACTCCCTTAATGAAATTACAGCTGTGGAAGAGTTAAATAGTAAAAGTTAAGCCCTGATACAGTATTAAACTTATCTTTTTATATATAAAAATAATACACAATGGGCTATTTTATTCAGTAAGATACAATCTTTAAGATTCAGAGAATATACAAAATTATTCTACGTAGTCCAATGTATTTTACTGTATAGTGGAATAAATATATCTCGAACAGAACACAGGAAGTCTGTTCCTAGAGAAATCACCAGTTAGTATAGGTTAAAGCCAACTGTTCTACAGATACCAGGTAGAAAGTAGCTACTGTTGCACTTAGTACAATATGGTCATTATAAAATAGGCTTTAGATCTATAAACAATAACAGCAACACACAAACCAAATGAAAATGTGCTAAAATTTAATCTTCCATAAAAGCTGTAATTTATTCTGACAGTAAAACACAAGAAGCAATATTAGAGGTGGTTTAGTATATTATATATTTTAGCTTTGAAAGCCATAGAAATCAGTTATCGCAGTTTTTTCCTATAAAAGACCCATTTTTCCAAAGCATTATGCACGATTTTAATTAGACTATGACAGATGATTTTTCATATTTTTAAAATATAAAATGAAATCAATGAGTCAAAAAAGTTACCTGCTGCAATGAGTTGAGGAAGAATTTCATAATTGATATCATTACAGATATAAAGTATACTGGTTCAATGTTTTGGTGCTTGACAGGGAGGAATCATGATAAAAAGATCAATATGAAATCATTTGATTATAGTAGCAATACCTAACATT